CTGACTATTGTAGGAAAGTGTATATATAAACCTTGTTCTGACTATTGTATATATAAACCTTGTTCTGACTATTGTATATATATATAACCTTGTTCTGACTATTGTAGGAAAGTGTGTATATAAACCTTGTTCTGACTATTGTAGGAAAGTGTATATATAAACCTTGTTCTGACTATTGTATATAAAGTTCTGACTATTGTATATATAAACCTTGTTCTGACTATTGTAGGACTAGTGTATATATAAACCTTGTTCTGACTATATATAAACCTTGTTCTGACTATTGTAGGAAAGTGTATATATAAACCTTGTTCTGACTATTGTATATAAACCTTGTTCTGACTATTGTGTATAAACCTTGTTCTGACTATTGTAGGAAAGTGTATATATAAACCTTGTTCTGACTATTGTAGGAAAGTGTATATATAAACCTTGTTCTGACTATTGTATATAAACCTTGTTCTGACTATTGTATATAAACCTTGTTCTGACTATTGTATATAAACCTTGTTCTGACTATTGTAGGAAAGTGTATATATAAACCTTGTTCTGACTATTGTAGGAGAGTGTGTATATAAACCTTGTTCTGACTATTGTAGGAGAGTGTATATATAAACCTTGTTCTGACTATTGTAGGAAAGTGTGTATATAAACCTTGTTCTGACTATTGTAGGAGAGTGTGTATATAAACCTTGTTCTGACTATTGTAGGAAAGTGTGTATATAAACCTTGTTCTGACTATTGTAGGAGATATAAACCTTGTTCTGACTATTGTATATAAACCTTGTTCTGACTATTGTAGGAAAGTGTGTATATAAACCTTGTTCTGACTATTGTATATAAACCTTGTTCTGACTATTGTAGTGTATATATAAACCTTGTTCTGACTATTGTATATAAACCTTGTTCTGATAATATAAACCTTGTTCTGACTATTGTAGGAAAGTGTATATATAAACCTTGTTCTGACTATTGTATATAAACCTTGTTCTAACTTTTGTATATCAACCTTGTTCTGACTATTGTAGGAAAGTGTGTATATAAACCTTGTTCTGACTATTGTATATAAACCTTGTTCTAACTTTTGTATATCAACCTTGTTCTGACTATTGTAGGAAAGTGTGTATATAAACCTTGTTCTGACTATTGTATATAAACCTTGTTCTGACTATTGTAGGAAAGTGTGTATATAAACCTTGTTCTGACTATTGTAGGAGAGTGTATATATAAACCTTGTTCTGACTATTGTATATAAATAAACCTTGTTCTGACTATTGTAGGAAAGTGTGTATATAAACCTTGTTCTGACTATTGTATATAAACCTTGTTCTGACTATTGTATATAAACCTTGTTCTGACTATTGTAGGAAAGTGTATATATAAACCTTGTTCTGACTATTGTATATAAACCTTGTTCTGACTATTGTATATAAATAAACCTTGTTCTGACTATTGTAGGAAAGTGTATATATAAACCTTGTTCTGACTATTGTATATAAACCTTGTTCTGACTATTGTAGGAAAGTGTGTATATAAACCTTGTTCTGACTATTGTAGGAAAGTGTGTATATAAACCTTGTTCAGACTGTTGTAGGAAAGTGTGTATATAAACCTTGTTCTGACTATTGTATATAAACCTTGTTCTGACTATTGTATATAAACCTTGTTCTGACTATTGTAGGAAAGTGTGTATATAAACCTTGTTCTGACTATTGTATATAAACCTTGTTCTGACTATTGTATATAAACCTTGTTCTGACTATTGTAGGAAAGTGTGTATATAAACCTTGTTCTGACTATTGTAGGAAAGTGTATATATAAACCTTGTTCTGACTATTGTATATAAACCTTGTTCTGACTATTGTATATAAACCTTGTTCTGACTATTGTATATAAACCTTGTTCTGACTATTGTATATAAACCTTGTTCTGACTATTGTATATAAACCTTGTTCTGACTATTGTAGGAAAGTGTGTATATAAACCTTGTTCTGACTATTGTAGAAAGGTGTATTTATTATGTTTCTGAATGCCTTGTCAATCTAGTTTTACCTCAATATTTTCTAAACATGTTATCGAATGTTTTACATTATCTTTACTACTATTAGAAAATCATTATATTCACCCATTTCAGCCTGAAAATAAAAGAGCTTTCACCAGATTACCAGAAGCTCCCAGTTTAGTTTAGGGTACTTGTTGAAAACATTGAATAGCTAATAAAACGATTCAGATGGCCATTTTACAATACCAATATTTACCAGTAAACAAGTCTTGTGGACTTTACAACCTAATCAATGATTGAAGTCATTAATGGCCTGATATGTTCGTGTTCAGTGTTGGCAATTGTCTGTAATGTAGTGTGGTCAATAATATATTTTATTATTCAAATCCTGATCAATTTTCTAACAACGGAGCCTATAGTTGTGGAACATTGTAATCTGAGCCCTGAATAGTTTACATATGTAGCATAATAAACACTTGATTGCGCAGATTTGTTTTTTTTGTTTTAATTGATCCAGTGTAACAATCATTTCAGGATCTTTAGCTCACAACTTTAGAGTTGGCTTGACCAGTTTCTAATAGATGTGGGGTGGAACTTTTTGTAAATATCTTTGAGAAAGTCGAATTTTTTGCCAATTATAAGTGGATCAATGTATAAATGTAGTATGTTATGATCAGGAGTAATACCACAGATAAAACACATGTTGATTTTGTGAATGATACCACAGATGTACAGTATGTCAGGAACTATGGTAGACAAAATAAATGTTGATTTGTGAGTGATTCTAATTCTCTGTATAATTCTGCCTGTTTCCATTTTCTGCATTCTTATTAGTTTAGTTTCATTATACTGACCCTCTGCTGAAATAAAACGCCAATTTGTGGCAAGTTTTGTCAAAGAAAGGAAAATGAAGGTAAGACTCTTGACGAAAAAAAAAGCTGCTCCTTAACACATGATGTTTTTAGAAGATTGCAAAGGAGATATTTCCAATTGAAGGAGATTCTATATAATTTTCTTGTAACCTCAACATGTTCATTTTATCTTTAACAAAGAACTAGTATCAAACCTTGTCTTCTGTATGTAATTGATAAAAATTGATTAAGGTAAAATGGGTTTGATACATTCTGATAACACCAAGAGAAATAAGATATCAAATCAAGATTACTAGGTAAGTTTCATAGCTCTGCCAAAGCATTATAATGTTTTAAAGCGTTTATTCAAGAACATAACAAGAGATCAAAGATATGTTTGTATCAGATTTTAATTAATGAAAGTTATCATAGGTAAATCTAAATTATTTGGAAGATTGCACATGCATTCACAAATCACTAGCACCTTTAAAAACAAATTTAGAACGAGATATTGTAAAACCAAACATTATAAATAAGGCTGCATAATACAGCTATTCCGTCCTTCTAGAATTCATCAGTGATTTGAATGCCTTACCGTCCTGATCCATGCCACTTTCTGAACGAATTAAACATGGCATGCACACTGCTTACAGGAAATCTCCTGGACTATAATTTTACCACAGATTTACAATTAGATAAAGGATATAGCCAAATAAGTGAAGTACAAGCACATAAAACAGTTGTTTCCTCCTTCTGAAGCTCGGATGTAAACCCTAGTGCCTAGGTACTCTTGATTGATGAGAGGAAGTCCTAAGGTGTTTCTCTCTGTATTTCAGCTTTTTTGTGAGAGGAGTAGAAGTTCACATATGGCTCACATTTATTTTTAGATTGGAAGATTTGAATGCCGCAAATTTCTTCCTTGAAACGTTTAACAGCACAGCATTACCACTGATAACTACAGGCCCAGTGAGCCTTTTGACCCCATTCTGAAACACTCGAATGAAACACAGCTAAAAAAATCTTAGTTATAGGAAGTGTTTAAAGCTTTTCAAGTTTAGCTGTAGATGCTATGAAGAATGTAAATACACTTTGCTTTTTACAGACTTAACATACAGTACACTCCCTTAGCCCTAAATGTGTTAATACTTTCATTTCTAATTATACACTCTATTGTGCTATTGGTGGAAACTAAAATGATCTCAACTGCTTTTTAGCTATAAAAAACTGCTTAACTTTCAAACTGAATTGTTTTTTTAAAGATCTTTTTTTTAATTCAGGCCATATTCATATCTCATGCTTGTATTCATTTTTGAAATGTTTGTTGAATTTTTAGTTTCCGTTGATATTTTTGCATATTAAAAGCTATGTACTTGATCCTGAATGGGATTGGTATTATGACCAGTGTTTGATTCTGTCTAATCTTGTGGGTTCCATGTCCAATATTCTTTGTGTGATCATGGGGAAACTTATGGTTTGTTTCACGTGACATTGGTTAGGACAGTGACACTGCTGTGGTTAGTATGACCTACATAGGGTAGGTCACTGTGGTACCTTGGTCTTATGACATTGATTAGGAAGGTGACACTGCTGTGGTTAGTATGACCTACATTGGGTAGGTCACTGTGGCACCTTGGTCTTATGACATTGATTAGGAAGGTGACACTGCTGTGGTTAGTATGACCTACATTGGGTAGGTCACTGTGGAACCTTGGTCTTATGACATTGATTAGGAAGGTGACACTGTCTGGTTAGTGTGACCTACATTGGGTAGGTCACTGTGGCACCTTGGTCTTATGACATTGATTAGGAAGGTGACACTGTCTGGTTAGTATGACCTACATTGGGTAGGTCACTGTGGCACCTTGGTCTTATGACATTGATTAGGAAGGTGACACTGTCTGGTTAGTATGACCTACATTGGATAGGTCACTGTGGCACCTTGGTCTTATGACTTTGAGGTTTCTTACACATCCATGTCATATAATTTTTCTGTTAAATTAAATCATGTAAGTTAGAGGAGACTTCAGTTCCTCTTGGACAATGCATCTTTGTGCTAGCTCACTGTAATACCTGACTGATGTGTTAAATTGCAACCTGATGCTAGACAGAAAGTAAAATCTTCATTCAATGTTTCCTATTTGTTGTAGAGTTCAGCAGCAGCTGAGACAATGACAGAAATAGAGTGTAGCCACCTGGAGGAGTTCGTAAATTCTGGACGTACCGGACGTCGTAATGCCATGGCCGACATACAGAGTGATCAAAACAATACTGTCTCCACTGCACCAATAACATTTGAAATGGACAAACTCAGCTGCCACGGTAAACACAGTCTGTGGTCTTGTACAAGGAATACTTAAGTCATCCATATTACCCCAAGTGTCAATCAGTTTTTTGTTATCAGTACAGCTTTAGGTCCTTGCTGTTCTTGCTGAAACTGCAAGCATATAATTCGTTAATCCGTCTATCCTTTCATGTCTGCAGCATAGCTTCGCCAACAGTGAAGTAAGGATCATGATACTTGATGTGTACATGGATCATACTATGACAATGTGCAGTACACCAAATCCAGGGCCCTTGACCCCTCAATTACAGAGTTTATGCCCTTCGTAAAATTTCCTTTTCTGAAGCATAACTTTGCTCATAATTAAGCAACAGTCATGAAACTTTGTGTATACATTGATCACACTCTTAAATGGTCGCCATGGCCACCATCTTCAAAAACATATTTTAAAATTCTTCTGTAGTTTCACTGGTGCCATTGAGCTAAAAATTGGTGGAAATGTTAAGGAAAAGTAGCCTAAACAATGATGATGTTTTTCGAGCTTGTCAAAACTTCAATTCAGCAGCCAGGGAGGCCATTTTGTAACATGATTGCCTAATTATGGTTTTCCTTTGCAACTCCAATTTCGAACTTCTTTTCAAGTTTCACCAGTTGGCTTGAGCTCCAACTTTACTGTCAAAAAAAAGGTAACACTTTTTAGAGTTACCTACTCCTCACCAAAACTACCATCTGCATCATGGAAAACAGCTTCTTAGTAAGATTCTACTCAAAAGCTCTTGCGGCTGAAAGTTTTTATAGTCAGATGACTGCTTAGGCCCAAGGGTCTCTTTTTTTATTTAGAGTGACTGAAGAACCTGGAAATGGATGTTGAGCACAGATACTTATATATATTTATATTTTTGTATCTTTCACTCATGCTGCTTAGGCATGGAAGATACTAAAATATTAGACACACTTGTGAAATATATCTGTTATTACTGAAGACTCTATAAGATATCCTCTATATCTGTTATTACTGAAGACTCTATAGGACATCCTCTATATTACTGAAGACTCTATAGGATATCCTCTATATCTGTTATTACTGAAGACTTTATAGGATATCCTCTGTATCTGTTATTACTGAAGACTCTATAGGACATCCTCTATATCTGTTATTACTGAAGACTCTATAGGATATCCTCTATATTACTGTTATTACTATAGGATATCCTCTATATTACTGAAGACTATAGGATATCCTCTATATCTGTTATTACTGAAGACTATAGGACATCCTCTATATTACTGAAGATTCTATAGGACATCCTCTATATTACTGAAGACTCTATAGGATATCCTCTATATTACTGAAGACTCTATAGGATATCCTCTATATTACTGAAGACTCTATAGGATATCCTCTATATTACTGAAGACTCTATAGGATATCCTCTATATCTGTTATTACTGAAGACTCTATAGGATATCCTCTATATTACTGAAATTATTACTGAAGACTCTATAGGATATCCTCTATATTACTGAAGACTCTATAGGATATCCTCTATATTACTGAAGACTCTATAGGATATCCTCTATATCTGTTATTACTGAAGACTCTATAGGATATCCTCTATATCTGTCTATAGGATATCCTCTATATTACTGAAGACTCTATAGGATATCCTCTATATCTGTTATTACTGAAGACTCTATAGGATATCCTCTATATCTGTTATTACTGAAGACTCTATAGGATATCCTCTATATTGTTATTACTGAAGACTCTATAGGATATCCTCTATATCTGTTATTACTGAAGACTCTATAGGATATCCTCTATATCTGTTATTACTGAAGACTCTATAGGATATCCTCTATATTACTGAAGACTCTATAGGATATCCTCTATATTACTGAAGACTCTATAGGATATCCTCTATATCTGTTATTACTGAAGACTCTATAGGATATCCTCTATATCTGTTATTACTGAAGACTCTATAGGACATCCTCTATATTACTGAAGACTATAGGATATCCTCTATATCTGTTATTACTGAAGACTCTATAGGACATCCTCTATATTACTGAAGACTCTATAGGATATCCTCTATATCTGTTATTACTGAAGACTCTATAGGATATCCTCTATATCTGTTATTACTGAAGACTCTCTAGGATATCCTCTGTATCTGTTATTACTGAAGACTCTATAGGATATCCTCTATATTACTGTTATTATCTGAAGACTCTATAGGATATCCTCTATATTACTGAAGACTCTATAGGATATCCTCTATATCTGTTATTACTGAAGACTCTATAGGATATCCTCTATATCTGTTATTACTGAAGACTCTATAGGATATCCTCTATATCTGTTATTATCTCTATATTACTGAAGACTCTATCCTCTATATTACTGAAGACTCTATAGGATATCCTCTATATCTGTTATTACTGAAGACTCTATAGGATATCCTCTATATCTGTTATTACTGAAGACTCTATAGGATATCCTCTATATTACTGAAGACTCTATAGGATATCCTCTATATCTGTTATTACTGAAGACTCTATAGGATATCCTCTATATCTGTTATTACTGAAGACTCTATAGGATATCCTCTATATCTGTTATTACTGAAGACTCTATAGGATATCGTCTATATTTACTGAAGACTCTATAGGATATCCTCTATATCTGTTATTACTGAAGACTCTATAGGATATCCTCTATATCTGTTATTACTGAAGATTCTATAGGATATCCTCTATATTGTTATTACTGAAGACTCTATAGGATATCCTCTATATCTGTTATTACTGAAGACTCTATAGGATATCCTCTATATCTGTTATTACTGAAGACTCTATAGGATATCCTCTATATCTGTTATTACTGAAGACTCTATAGGATATCCTCTATATCTGTTATTACTGAAGAGTCTATAGGATATCCTCTATATCTGTATCCTCTATATACTGAAGACTCTATAGGATATCCTCTATATCTGTTATTACTGAAGACTCTATAGGATATCCTCTATATTACTGAAGAAGACTCTATAGGATATCCTCTGTATCTGTTATTACTGAAGACTCTATAGGATATCCTCTATATCTGTTATTACTGAAGACTCTATAGGATATCCTCTATATTACTGAAGACTCTATAGGATATCCTCTATATCTGTTATTACTGAAGACTCTATAGGATATCCTCTATATCTGTTATTACTGAAGACTCTATAGGATATCCTCTATATTACTGAAGACTCTATAGGACATCCTCTATATTACTGAAGACTCTATAGGATATCCTCTATATCTGTTATTACTGAAGACTCTATAGGATATCCTCTATATCTGTTATTACTGAAGACTCTATAGGATATCCTCTATATCTGTTATTACTGAAGACTCTATAGGATATCCTCTATATCTGTTATTACTGAAGACTCTATAGGATATCCTCTATATTACTGAAGACTCTATAGGATATCCTCTATATCTGTTATTACTGAAGACTCTATAGGATATCCTCTATATTACTGAAGACTCTATAGGATATCCTCTATATCTGTTATTACTGAAGACTCTATAGGATATCCTCTATATCTGTTATTACTGAAGACTCTATAGGATATCCTCTATATCTGTTATTACTGAAGACTCTATAGGATATCCTCTATATTATATCTGAAGACTCTATAGGATATCCTCTATATCTGTATCCTCTATATCTGTTATTACTGAAGACTATAGGATATCCTCTATATCTTTATTACTGAAGACTCTATAGGATATCCTCTATATCTGTTATTACTGAAGACTCTATAGGATATCCTCTATATCTGTTATTACTGAAGACTCTATAGGATATCCTCTATATCTGTTATTACTGAAGACTCTATAGGACATCCTCTATATTACTGAAGACTCTATAGGATATCCTCTATATCTGTTATTACTGAAGACTCTATAGGACATCTTCTATATCTGTTATTACTGAAGACTCTATAGGATATCCTCTGTATCTGTTATTACTGAAGACTCTATAGGATATCCTCTATATTACTGAAGACTCTATAGGATATCCTCTATATTACCTTATTACTGAAGACTCTATAGGATATCCTCTATATCTGTTATTACTGAAGACTCTATAGGATATCCTCTATATCTCTTATTACTTAAGAGTCTATCGTATATATTATTTTTTACTGAATAGTATATAGTATATATTTTTTATTACTGAAGACTCTATAGGATATCCTCTATATCTGTTATTACTGAAGATTCTATAGGATATCCTCTATATCTGTTATTACTGAAGACTCTATAGGATATCGTCTATATTACTGAAGACTCTATAGGATATCCTCTATATTAAGACTGATATCCTCTATATCTGACTGAAGACTCTATAGGATATCCTCTATATTGTTATTACTGAAGACTCTATAGGATATCCTCTATATCCTGTTATTACTGAAGACTCTATAGGATATCCTCTATATCTGTTATTACTGAAGACTCTATAGGATATCCTCTATATTGTTATTACTGAAGACTCTATAGGATATCCTCTATATCTGTTATTATCCTGATTAGAAGACTCTATAGGATATCCTCTATATCTGTTATTACTGAAGACTCTATAGGATATCCTCTATATCTGTTATTACTGAAGACTCTATAGGATATCCTCTATATTACTGAAGACTGTATAGGATATCCTCTATATCTGTTATTACTGAAGACTCTATAGGATATCCTCTACTGTTATTACTGAAGACTCTATAGGATATCCTCTATATTACTGAAGATATCCTATTAGGATATCCTCTATATCTGTTATTACTGAAGACTCTATAGGATATCCTCTATATCTGTTATTACTGAAGACTCTATAGGATATCCTCTATATCTGTTATTACTGAAGACTCTATAGGATATCCTCTATATCTGTTATAGGATATCTGGATATCCTCTATATTATTACTGAAGACTCTATAGGATATCCTCTATATTGTTATTACTGAAGACTCTATAGGATATCCTCTATATCTGTTATTACTGAAGACTCTATAGGATATCCTCTATATCTGTTATTACTGAAGACTCTATATATCTGTTATTACTGAAGATATCCTCTATATTACTGGAAGACTCTATAGGATATCCTCTATATTACTGAAGACTCTATAGGATATCCTCTATATCTGTTATTACTGAAGACTCTATAGGATATCCTCTATCCTCTATATCTGTTATTACTGAAGACTATCCTGTATATTACTGAAGACTCTATAGGATATCCTCTATATCTGTTATTACTGAAGACTATAGGATATCCTCTATATCTGTTATTACTGAAGACTCTATAGGATATCCTCTATATTACTGAAGACTCTATAGGATATCCTCTATATCTGTTATTATCTGAAGACTCTATAGGATATCCTCTATATTGTTATTACTGAAGACTCTATAGGATATCCTCTATATTATGAAGACTCTATAGGATATCCTCTATATCTGTTATTACTGAAGACTCTATAGGATATCCTCTATATCTGTTATTACTGAAGACTCTATAGGATATCCTCTATATCTGTTATTACTGAAGACTCTATAGGATATCCTCTATATTACTGAAGACTCTATAGGATATCCTCTATATCTGTTATTACTGAAGACTCTATAGGATATCCTCTATATCTGTTATTACTGAAGACTCTATAGGATATCCTCTATATCTGTTATTATCTGAAGACTCTATAGGATATCCTCTATATCTGTTATTACTGAAGACTCTATAGGATATCCTCTATATTGAAGACTCTATAGGATATCCTCTATATCTGTTATTACTGAAGACTCTATAGGATATCCTCTATATTATTGAAGACTCTATAGGATATCCTCTATATCTGTTATATTACTGAAGACTCTATAGGATATCCTCTATATCTGTTATTACTGAAGACTCTATAGGATATCCTCTATATCTGTTATTACTGAAGACTCTATAGGATATCCTCTATATCTGTTATTACTGAAGACTCTATAGGATATCCTCTATATCTGTTATTACTGAAGACTCTATAGGATATCGTCTATATTACTGAAGACTCTATAGGATATCCTCTATATTATTACTGAAGACTCTATAGGATATCCTCTATATCTGTTATTACTGAAGACTCTATAGGATATCCTCTATATTACTGAAGACTCTATAGGATATCCTCTATATTACTGAAGACTCTATAGGATATCCTCTATATTACTGAAGACTCTATAGGATATCCTCTATATTACTGAAGACTCTATAGGATATCCTCTATATCTGTTATTACTGAAGACTCTATAGGACATCCTCTATATTACTGAAGACTCTATAGGACATCCTCTATATTACTGAAGACTCTATAGGATATCCTCTATATTGTTACTGAAGACTCTATAGGATATCCTCTATATTACTGAAGACTCTATAGGATATCCTCTATATCTGTTATTACTGAAGACTCTATAGGATATCCTCTATTTATTATCTTTTATTGGTTCAGTGCAATAGCATCACATTGTAAAGGAATTATCTCAAAAAGAAGCTAGTCAAACAATGCAGGTCCATGGGACCTCTTGTAACTGATTTAACACCAGAAAGTAGATTTCTGCAAGTTACTAGGCCTTCATTCATTACTGATAACATCTGCAGTGTTACAAGACAGAGTGAAGTGTTGATGTGACTACAGGCCTAGCATTCCTGATTCCACATGTACACTGAGTGTCGGGGAACCCCAAAACATGTATACAGACGTATAAAAAACAAAAATGAACCAGAAAATGCTGTTATAATTACTAATTGGACAAAATATTCTCATGATCAATCTAAATGATGATACAGGAATGGAGTAAATCAGGGACCTGTATCACCATTTCTGTCACTCTGTAAAGATTTATTTGTTATAAGGCGATCTTTACTATCTAGATATCTCATTTTCATGCCACAATATTGATTTGTAAAACCTTTGTAATAACCATTTCCAAAACTTTTGTATTGAAGGCCCCTGTGTAGTGTAATCAGGTCATTAGGAATTGTAATTAACCTTCATTGTAATGTTCCCTACTGAGTCAGTTTAGGTCAAATTGTTTCCTATAAGGCAGAATCTGATTGTGCCCTCAGCACAACTTCCTAATGTATATAAATTTATATGAATTATTTGTCTCCAATAGAAACAGAACTTGTTTTATTGTAATTTCATTATGTAGGGATGAAAGTATTTTGTGACTATGTTAGGTGACTTTCATGGATCCACACAAGGCTATTTTTAGATAACAGCAGTAGAGCACACACTATTGTTATTTATGTTGGTTAAATGTAATTACAATCACAGACAATAATCGTCTGTTGTCATTGTTAGTTAGATCATCCACCTGAGACAACAACAGTCTAGCAAAACCCTAGTCAGTCTTGTATAATCTTCTGTACATATATAATATACACCATGTTGTGCTTTATTGATAGTGACCATGTTTCTGTAACATTCATCTTCCTGTTTTTATGATAAAAAAAATGGTTCAGGAGAGGGCAGGAAGAATGGTAACTTTTTTCAACCAAATCATTTTATCGAACTTTCCAGTTGTTAACAAAGTATTGTCATTCTTTTTCATCCTTTACCAATTTCTTGTTTTTTCCTTCTTGTAGATTCTCCAGACAGTAAAACAAAGCCCCCACAAGATGAACCTCCTGGGGCTAGTGGGCAGGGTCAAGGGTCATAGCTGGCTCCCAACCAATCAAAAGTAGTCTCTAGGGCAAGGTGTGGAGCAGAGGTTTTTAAAAGACGCTGCTATGGCTTGGCAATAGAGTGCCTGAGCAATGAAATTTTGCTTGAAGGGAGATGAATCCAATTTTAGGAAGATAAGCTTTACTGCTCCACAGACTTCTGTGTGTTTAGCTTTTCCAGCTTGAGAAGTCATTGGAGAATCTTTTATTGTGTGCTGCTAAGCAACAGGAAAATAGGTCAACAACAGCCTTATCCTCGGTTCCTGGTTGTCAGTATGGCTGTAGAAGTATATGTCATAAGGGAGATAACTCTGATTATACCAGACACATATGACAGTGAATATCATGGAGATAATGGTTAATTAAAAATAAAATAATAGATTTCCTTATTCATTCAGCAGTGTCATTAGATACAGAAAATAAAATGATCCCTGTAAAAATCTGTTACTAACACCAGGAATCATTCTGTTCACATTTTACCTACATATTTTACATTTAAATCATACATAAAATGATGTTTGAGAGTTTCTAGCATCGGCCTAATACATTAAGACATCAATCATTTCTTATTAATGGATTTTAGAATGTTGGAACACTATAATCATGATCAATGACCTTCATTAGGAGGAGAAGGAAGTGGGATTGTAGATTTGTCAAATGCTGGCAAGGGTGGAAATATACATTAATAATTCCAAATTACTTTTGCACATGGAATATCAGCATTTGTTTTTCATCTTATCCTGTTTGATGAAATAATTAAACTGTTACTCAAATAATGTGTTTATATTTCTATGCTTTTGTACATGAACTTTGACCCCAGTCTCACTCAATTTCATTAGCATTGAGAATACCAAATTGTTGTCATTGAAGTGATAGATATGAGATCGTCCACTCTCATTTTTCACTATATTTATCTTCCAATAACCAAGGTGACTGGTCAAAACCTCAATGTATAAATACTGTGTTGTATTACAGTGCAATGATCTAGATTTGTTGGTATTTATATAAACAGGCGATGTGAGTGGGCTTATTACCATCAACAGATGGTGAGCTATTTAAATTTCTCTGCATCAGTAGTATGTATTGAATGGATGTCTCTCAAATTTCATACATATGTTCCCTTTGGTCTCAACTAGTGTTTGTTTGATTTTGGGACTGATCAGAAGAAACAAAATGGCTTCCAGGCGGCCATTTGGATTTGGCAGGTAAAGATTATCATCGCTATGTCTGCAAAGGAATGTTCAAATATCATCAAGAGCCAAAATAGAGGCCGATGGGGGGTGGGGGGGATCCTCTTTTCAACGAGCATATAAAGATCAAACAATGGTGGGTGCCAAGATACCTTTAGGATATCTTGTATTAACAGAACAGATCAATGTGAGTGGGCTTATTACCAGACTCTGGCTTATTGCTGGGTATGTATGGTTATTTAGTTTTCAATATTTGGTTAGGCTGGAGCTTGTAATACTGTTTATATTATGACCTAAAACTTAAAAAGCAATTATTGTTTTAATGTGTTTTTATCATGTCAAACCTGTGGCCTTTCATTCATTGCTTTTCACAGCTAAATCTTTGGATGATGTACTCTGATTACACCAAGTCCTGGGTTTGTGGAAGAAGACCAGACTTCCAATTTTTAATGTTTATTTTTTTTTTTTAATTCATGTTGATATTTCAAACTACATGTCTTGTAAATATTGTAAATATAGAGGACTTCACTAAATTAAGACTGATGTCAAAAAGCAAATATTTTCGATTTACTGACATGTTTTAAGACACACTTGATGACCATCCAAGGTTTCCCTCCCAGCATATGTGCTATAGTTGGGTTTTTTTTTCTTGCACTCCACATTAGGCCAATTCATGTCCCATATTCCTAATACTTTACTTCACTTTTACCGACTGTTCAGTCCAGTTCAAATTTCTTTATTCTCTATGAAATTTTAATTGACTAATTACTTAAGAATTTCTGTTGATTACATACTGGAGTGTTATGCTTTATTCAGCTTGACGATCTGAGGTTAGGCTGGCAAAGTTGAAAATAAATGTTGTTTTGAATATATTAAACAATGATTTTACATGAATGATTTAAGAAATAAGTTTTCTTTTTTGTTGTTTACTGGTATGTAAACTGCAATTTTTTTTTACAGATATTTATAATGATGGGTGTGAATTTAATATGTTGAAATATCTTTAAATCTTAAATACAGATGCAGTTTACACACCAATAAACGACAAAAATCATTTCTTATATTTACATTTTGACAGTTGGGTTGTTTTTCTTTTTTATGCTACTTAGAAAAAATTATAATTGTCATTCATTGGATGTTGTACGCATTGATTAAGTAGCCTGACAACTGATGCCCAGTGATGGAATAGTGAAGTAGCTTATTCTGATTTAGCAGTAAAGGCTTTCAAACTTTGACCTTTACCAAAGCACAATCATCAGTTTTGTTGGTAAGGACAAATACAGGATACACACAAGCATTGTAAATAGAATATTTCATCATTTCGATGAACTGAAGACCTAAATCTGGTAGGGATGATATTTCTATTTTTGTAACCTCGTGTGTGTGATATACACACTATTTTTATTTATCTATTTTTCCATTATTTTTTCGTCATTATCTACTTAATGTCGTAAGTCTGATGTAGATTAATTTATAACTTACAGTATTATGATATATACTTATGAAAGTCATTTTGATATCTACTTGCCCCGTCTATTTGTTTTGTGATTGTTTATAACAGGACTTTAGACATATCTGATATTGTGTTTGGAATATTAGTTATTACATTTGAAGAATGTAAGGATCCAAATATTTGTTCATATAGAAAGGTTACTTTTGTATGTACAAACAATTTCATAATACATAGTTCAATGCAATGTTGATCCTATCCACCCAATCCACAATAATGTAGGTATGGGTATTAGATTTGCTGTGTAGAATAGGAGTCAGGACGAAGGCTTTGGAAATAACATAGAGCTTTGTGTAGAAACTTATTGTTTAACACAGGGCTGGTACATTATGTATAAAGAGATTCTCAATCACAAAAGGGTTTTGGTACCCATCAGTACAGCAATGAACTAAAGAACCTCAGAGGAATGTTTGTAGTTCAACTATCTGCACTTGGGGCAGCCATTTTATATTTTTCTCTTTTGAATATATTTCCATATTTAGTTTTATTAAATAACCCAATGAAATTTGTTACAAGTGAAATGTACATACATGTTTTGTATTACTTTGTAAGATTTGGTCGTGTAAAACTAAAATTCGGCAATGAGATTCTGACTGCCAAGCTTGAGATTAATGTCTTACTAATGTCATATCCATGTTTGTTAACGAAGCTTAAAAATGGCATCTGTTTCTATTTATAAGTCTGGTCCTGGTATACATGTCAATTAGAACTAGTCAGACTCCTGTGTTTCCTGATGAAGGCACCAGCAGCATTAGAGTTGAAAATAGAAGAATTATCAGTGATTTGAGTTCATCACTAGAAGTAGTAGACGTGTAGGATTACTTCTCAATCAGCTTCTGAGTTCATTTTGATTGCATTTTTTATTGTTGATAATAAATTCTTAAGAAAAAGTTACTGTGCTGTGTTCTGTTGATTTTTTTGTGTTTTATCTACACAACTGTAAAATTTGCAAAATTGTTATGATGTAAATTAACAGATGAAAATGTTGGATTGTGTATACAGTCATTTGAATACATGGTTTGGGGTTGATAATTTTTTTTTTTTTTTTTTTATTATTAAAGCCCCTTGCAACCATCACCACTACTCATAGGTCACTGGTCATAAAATTAAGGTATCACATCATCAAACATAATATTTCTGACACAAAATGTTTGTTGTGATAGCTCAGTCATTAAAGTATTTGATATGGTAACCTCGGGTAAAGAACAGAGGTGTATAATACTATATTCTCCTACCGGTGGCGGTTTGTGTCTCACGGGATAAAATCTAAAACGTATTGAATCACTTACATGTTCATGCCGGATCATTTTAGCTATGTCGTCAATTCAATTCCCCCGTTTACCGTAATCAATTCATTTGGTTAATTCTACAGTAATCAAATGTGGTCTGGTCCGTTGATGTCAAAGTGATGATACAGTTCATCTGTTTTTTCGATTTTAAATTGTGCTTACCTGATTACGTTCCTTATAAATAATTTCATTATCGCATTGATGCACGTAACGCACGTGTTAATGGACGTAACTTAAATCAAATGTAACAAAATTAATTTCCTTTGGGAAAGTAATAAACAATATGCTTCTCACAAAGTACAAGAAGGTCATCGCTCGTATGGTAACTTCGCTTTTGTTATATAGTAGAATGGCCTCATACTTCTCCGGTTTCGTGAAGTAAAAAGAATGAATTTTCCTATTTTTTTTACCATTCCTATTATGGGTGATGTCTATTTCCATTAATGTCAAATTTGCTGTGATCCATTACCTTTCTCGTAAATAGCTGATAAAGACTTAAAAAGGAATTGGTAGATCAGTGGCAACCTGAAGCAGTTGATCTTTCTTATTCTGTTGATAATATTTTCTCCCACCATTCACAGCCGTGTCTCCCGTTTTAGCCGGGAAAGATCAACTTGTCACCCCCTAGGGGATACAGCTTCGTGCCGATTAGCACGTGCTAAACCGGAAGCTCGGCCGGAAATACTTCTGGATTGTAAACCATGAAACAAATCCAATTTTTGTTGACGTCATGGCGTAAATAATGGGATGGGAGAAAAATAATCATACCCTACTCTCAGAGTGTTTGACAGAGAAATCTTCAGTCCTCGGGCGAATTTTTTTTTGTAGTCCAACCCGAGGCTCTTGACGACAACAACAACAACAACAAATCAAAGTACAGAAAGTACTGAGAGGCTAAACGTATTGCAAAATGTTCACAAATAACCGCTAAGCTATATTACTTTCCCCATACTCCTACACTTTGGAATGCAAAAATTACTAAAGTAAGAGAACCAGAGGCCATTTTTCTTAATTTTATGCAATTTTATATCTTCTTTAATTCTTATTTCAAATTTGACGACAATAATGTGAACAAATCAAAATAGATAAAAAAAAATGACAAAATACATACAACCACATATTTATCTTCAAAACCTTGAAAAAGTGGCATGGCGGTGGGTGTGAAAAACCTGCAAAAGTGTCATATCGGCGGGTGTGCGCGTGGGACAGACAGTCCAATTTTGTGACATCTAATGAGGTAAATCAGAGACGTATATATTACATGTGATATATACGTCTCTGGGTAAATTGATGTTATATATTAAGACGACCTTGCAAGGACAAGGATTAAAGCAAAATTGATGTTTGTACGTTTTGTTTGTTTATAAGTGCTGTTAGTTGATAATTCAAACTAAGCCCCCAGACTAGCTTCTTAGCTTGGCGCCAACTCGCACGTACAGTGTAGGATTCATAAACCCCGCCATACGGTAAATACACTGTAAATCAAGTAATGCAGTTTCGATAAACTTTGAAGATACAAGAAACCATTTTTTGCTTACTTCAGGTAAATATGATTGTTTTCTAGGAATATTCACAGCAGGCGATAAGAATAACGTCAGCTCGATCTTCTTCAGCAGCAGAGGTCGGGGATGTCCGTGAGCATATTTCGTAAAATATATTGTTCAAAATTTATCAATAGTTCAACCACACTGTGCTTCTTTTTTGAAATATACAGTAATCGTATTAATATTTAAAAATAAACTAATTTTGGATGCTTTTAAAATAGCGATTTGAAAGATCGCGGCATTATTAACGCAAAAAATTGCCGCTAGAGGGCTCTTTTCGATATTTCAGCCAATGAGAAGGCCAGGATAGGTAAATTTTGTCTGAAAGGCCGTCGCAATAGGCTATATACGTACCGAGTACGTTTAGCCTAAAAATCACTCCTCGGGTTGGAGATTTCTCTGTTATACCCTCAGGGTAGGGCAGATTCTGTTTGTCACAAATCTTACACATAACAATTTAAGAAACGCCTGGATTTTTTGCAATTTACTTCAAAGCATTAAAGCAAAAATGTTATTTTGATTCGTCGCCATCTTATTCCATGTAAAGTATGAAACTAACATCAAACCGTATGTGTAATCAGAAGACAATTGGTTCTCCTTTAAACGCAAAAAAAAGTGGCATCGAATTTTTTTCTAAAAGTAAATCACAGTGACCTTAATATGCATATATCTTTGTCCTGTCTTCTTACCACGCACCATAAAACTAATAATGCTGTTTATACAAGTGGGGATCTGATGCATGACCACACCCCCTAAAAGCTGAAACTATATAATTAAACTTATTTATGATCTACTAAATCAGTCACTACCTGTGACTCACATCTATGGATCGGTTTGTAATACAAAAATATTTGAATGTATCCAACATGGACAACTTTCCGCCAAGCTGTTTGAAAAGCTTGTTGATTTCAATTTCCTTATTGTGAATTTTCCATTTCTAGGTTGCTACAATCATGCATCCCCTACATATGGTGTTTACATATCGCAGTTGATTCGCTATTCAAGGGCCTGCTCCCATTATCACGATTTCGTGAAAAAAGTGTAACAAAATGGGTAGTAGAAATACAATTTAGAGAATATAATTTAAAACAGAAATTTAAAGTACAACAGGTTCTCTGGAAACAATAACAACAGGTGTCAAAAGTCAGGCACTGGACCAGGGTTAACGTCCTGTGATGGACAGGCAGTTTGGTAGCCCTTAGATATCAAGGGTGTGCCTCACGCACCTAGCCACTGTAGCGAGATAGCTGGGGAGGGATCGTCGATCAGAGTAGATAGCATACTGGATGGTAAAGTACATCGGGATCCCTGAGATAAGGTTACATGAGCTTGCACGTGCCTTGATAATTATATGCCTCGCGGGGTGGGGTATTGTCATCCAATCGGGGCTTAGTTGGAATTGAAGTGTTTTGGTATTATTAATACTAAGACAATAGACAGTAGCAGGAGAGTAGCGGGAGAAGAGCATGAGAGTGGTTGGAGGCTAGAGCTCGGGAGCTAGACAAGTCAGTGCGGGCCTGTAGAGGGAAGTAGGAACTTAAGCGGGAGATGGGGGTGGACTTGAACAGGATCTTGTGTAACCACGGCAAGAAATAAAATTTAACTCAAATACCACGTGTCGGAGTAATTATTGTGTAACAAAAGTTGTCAACCGACGGACAAACTCATAACACATAGTTTCAAAAGATGTGCGTAGATGAACAATTATGAGGATGTTTAAAAGTCGTCAAAGCGATTTTTAAAAAGAATATTTTATTTCTTTGCACGACATGAAGTTATAAATGTTTAATTATCGTTCGTTTGCCTACTAGTTCCTTTGTTTTTCACATTGTTCTCATACGAAAACTTTAAACTTCTTCCTTGTCTGAATACTGATATAACCGCGAAAAAGACAGCTACTGGATTTTAAAGAGGTTCGGTGATACCAACTTTAAACCATAATGACCAGGGCAAACATATTGAGGGAACAGTGATGTTCAAACGGTCATTTGCAGTGATTTCACAGGAAAGATTATGCAATGAAAGTTGATGAGTATCTCGAGAGGCTGACATCCGGAGTAAGATCAGAATAGAGTACAGAGATAGGGTTCACTGTTATTTTGTATATTACAGACCTCCAAGATAGGCAAATGTTCGTGGCTCCAACACTAGAGGTACTCCTTTGGTGATTAGTGACAGAGCGGGCAGCTCGCCGCCGGACAATCTCATTTTTTTCTATATCCTTCTTCAGGATCCGAAACCATACTGGCATACTCCAGTTAAGGCCACACTTGAGTTTTTTCCTTGACGTTTGAAGAGGTTTTTCTTTTTATACGCCCGTCGTATGACGGGACGTATTATGGTATCGCGATGTCTGTTCGTCTGTCCGCACGTACGTACGTCCTTCCATTGTAAACTTTCCATGTTTGGGCCATAACTTTGTCAGTCCTTGTACACATATATATCTCAAGGCGACGGAGGGTTGCGTATAAAAACTGCCCGCCTCGCATGCATAGTTTCGGAGTTCTTCCCCCTTAGTTGATTTTTCGTAAACTTCCCTTGTCCGTGCTCTCTGGGCACCATAATTTGTACACATTTATGTCGAAAGACGATGAAGTGCCGAGTATCGCATATGAAAATCGCCTGCCTCAACTACATTATCCGTTTCCATACATCACTTTAAGAAGAATGAACAGCATACAATTCTCTCGTTGTCATGAAATCTCATCCAGTGTATATTGTGAAAGCTCAGGACAGAGTTATAGTGCAGTCATTTTAGCCCCATAATAGGGCAAACCCCAAACTAATTGCAACATAATTCTTTATTGATAACTTTGGAAGTTCTATTATTGTAGTATATCATATTAAAAATCTACATCCGTGAAAATTGTGGAAATGCGTGAAAATCGCATTTTTTAAATGTTGGTTTGAGAACAGCAAATACTACTGGAAAACGGGTAATATTTTTGGTAAGGTAAACACTATTATGCAAAATAATTAAATGAATTGTATACCAAAGGATAGGATATTCATCATTGGATCAAATTACATAAAAAAAAAAGAAATGCGTCTGATACAAGAT